TCCTGCGAGGTTCATATTGCATCGCTTCGTTGTTCTATTATGCAGCCTATTTATCGTCGAGCCGCCAATGCGCACCGAGGATAAGCTGTATTTTTTTGCAGAGCTGCTCTCTACGCACATTACATAGGCGTAGACCGTGCGTTTATCGCGCGCTCGTTGATTTATCGCGATTATTACACCTTGCTGACGATTTATGCGCTATCCTCTCTCCCTCCCTCCCTCTCTCGCTCTCTCTCTCTCTCTCTCTCTCTTTTTCTCGCTCTTCCTGGGAGCGTCACGTGTCTCGAAAACTATTTTGCAAGTAACAGTTTTGCAAGATAAATAACAGCTCGTTAATTGTTATTCGCCGCTTTAATAGACTGCGAGTAATCTTCCTGCGCGCCTGCAAAAAAGCAGCGGGAGAGGTACAAAGTAGTATAAGTGGGTGCACAGGTGCGCTCAAAGCAACAAGTTAAAGCCGTGGGTCCGCGCAGTGTACATAGAGCGCGGGCGCTAAGTAGTGCCGCGGAAGCTTTACGGTAGCAGCGAGCGCGAAAAAATGGATTCGCGTGGTGCTGGCGGACGGAGAGGAACGAGCGTCGCCTGCACTTAGGTGCACTGCTCGGGCAACGCGGCCCTCTTGCCCTCGTGCGGCTGAGCCGAAGAAAGCGATACATCAGCCGTAGCAGCAGCAGCAACAGCAGCGCGTCCGGTCTACGCGCAGATCGTGCTGGCGATTATCGCCAATAATATGTACACGCTCCGTACGCGACTTTCATTACGAGCAGGCGCGCCGAGCCAGCAAACGAGCGCGAGATCACTCTTCTCGCTCTCTCGGCTTGCGAGCGCCAGTGTCGAATGGATGGGCTTTCTGCGCCCCGAAAACCTCGAGAAAAAAGCCAGCTGGCGCGTTCTTTCGTCGCTCTGAGCAAAACGCCGAGATCCGCGTTTCCTTGCCGTTTGTGCGCCTGATTGCATCCAGTGACCTTTCGATAATCAATCACGCCTAATGCTTTCGTTCACGCCGCAATGATAAATCGGATATTCATTAACAGGTCCGTTCATTAGTAGACGCACAGGGATGGAATCCCAAATGAATGCGAGGCTTTCTAATAACAATCGGTAGAATCGAAGACAATGATCTGCATGGGCCGCGCGCTGTTGGCCAAAGCCATACATTAGCGAGCGCGGACGTTGGCAGGCGCGCGAATGCCTCAGCAGCAAGCAGCAGTCATTCGCAAGACTCGCTCGCGCGTGTGCACGTGGGCGTAGCAGGCTTATTCGTCTCTCGCGCAACGTTACGTCTCGGCAGCGGCGGCGGTGGCGGCGGCGGTGACACGCGCGCGGGGATAACGATTGCCTTAATTACGGATTCGATAAGGAGCGCACGGCCAGTGCGGCTGCTCACCTGCTACCGGCATCTCGCCCACGCGCACGCCTGCCTTTCCTAATGTCTTCATCGGATGACCTACGATGAGCAGCTCGCGCGTCGCTTTACAAATGATTAAACAGATTTTATATGGCTTTCCGACCATCGGTTTATCTTCGCTCAGCAATGCCGGCGGACACTCCAGAGAGACTCATTGTCGTGCTTCTAACCGTTGACGATGCGGATATTAAGTACTGTGATTGTCGCCACGAGCGAAGATTGCGAAAAATCGTTAGCTGTTAATGGATGAAAATTAAAATGCCAGGCTGTCCCACTGTCGTTGCGCGCTTCCTTATCCGATGCTCTCCGGCGCAAGAACAAAGACATTACTCGTGACTCATGTTGTCTGATGCCTCAGAAATTTTCGTGGGTGTTGAAGAGCCAACCAATTTCTTACGGCTCTGTTACAAATGACGTTGGGAAAGAGCAATCAGCTGCAGCACAATAACACACAGCTATACGTGCACGCATTCACCGACGCGACTCTGTTATGCGAAGCATTCTTTCGTGAATAGACGTGTTAAAATTAATTTACGATACGCGCCGCGGTCCAAGATCTCTCTCTCTCTCTCTCTCTCTCTTGCTCTTGGAGTATTACAATAATGCGTTTTACAACTCAGCGATGTATTAAATTATTATTTATGCGCGAACCCGAGCTTCCTTCTAATGACATACAACGATACATTTTCCGATTTACCGCCTGCCTACTGTCTATTGTCGTATTGTTATTTATTGCCGGCATATAATCGTATACGATAATGATGACATTCGATTCGCGGCTAAAAATGCGCTTAACGTATAAATTAGAATGGTAAAGCGGGTACGTAAATGTGAGCTACGATAATGAAGGGCGTTTAATTACGCTGAAATAACGAGTGCGCTCGCTTATCCTTTTTCTCTTGTTCGCCTCCCTCCCGCGCGCCAAAAAGGGGGAAAAAAGTCGGAATCTGATAAAGCGCCGTATCATATTTCATCGCGTCTCCAAATGTTACAGCAGGCTTGCTTCGCTAGGCAAAAAACGTACAAAAAACACAAGAAAAAGCAGCGGCACAGCAGCGGCCTCGCGATTACTTATTCATTCACTCGGCAACTCATTCATTTCTGGCGCGAGTTTACAAAACGGCCGTGTAGCCCCTGAGCTGAGCCGCGCTGCAGGTTTCCCCATGGGGCGCGCGAAATCGCGCAAATCGCGAATATTATTGGCCGATCGGCCAACAAAGGCTGTAACCAGACTCGGCGGTACGCGGGAGAAGTGGCGGAGAAGAGAGAGCAGCGAGGCGCCGCGCGAAAATTTGCATAGCCAACGATCGGGGCGACGCGCGTTTCCGAGTCGGCGGCTTCGAGGCACGCGAGTCTCGTTAAAACAAATAAAACGCTAGCTACAGCAGCTACGTCGGCGAAGCAGAAAAAAGCCAAGAGGAGGCGCGAAAAAGGGCCGTCGTCCTTCGCTTCTGAACCTCTGCTGCTGCTGCTGCTGCTGCTTCTGCTGTTGCTTCTGCTGCTGCTTCTGTATAGCTATACACAGAGTGGATGGGGTATCCGTATTTGTATACAATAGGGCATCATAATACGTAATCTGCCTAAGGTATTCGGCAGGGGAGGGGGGGGGGGGGCGTTGCAGCCTCTCCCACGTTCAAGTTGCGCCTCACGTGTGAATCGGCCATCGGTTCTCATAAATTCATGCGTCGGTGACGCGCTCCGATGTTAATTAAGCGCCGATAACAGACCCAAGATTTACCTTTCCGCCACCTGTGTCTGTCTGCGCTACTGCCGTTCGCTGGTGCCGCTAACTAAGTATAACGGAAGCACGCAGGAAGAGCCCAGTTCACCTGCCCTCCGAGCACCATTGATATCAATAAATTGCATTGTTGGCTCTCCTCGCCACCTTTTTTGTTCTGTCGCCGCTTTTGAGCATTTTCCACTATATCGCCCAGCGATTCACTCGGCTGCCCGCACTTTATACGACCGAATTATACGCGGCATAGAACGAGCGCAAAAAACTTCTCGTGCCGGGAGAATTATTACTCGAAGGAAAGCATTACTCGCAAAGTGATTTTGATCGCGCGCATAGCAAAGTCGAGCGATATACCGTGCACAACCACAACTCAACGGTCAAAAATTGTCGAGAAAAAGAAAGACAAGATCGTAAAGAGAGCTCGCGGGGGCGTATACGCGACATCACACGTTTGCGCGCATTTCGAATGCGAGAGAAAGAGAGAGAGAGAGAGAGCAGCTGAGCTCGCGCGGGGATCACGAAGTCCACGTGTCTACACGGTCGCGAAATACCGCAGGGAAAACCTGTTTCTCCCGGTGTATAATCGCCTTCCGATCTGCCGCCGCCACCGCGACAATCTTTTTTTCTTTCTTTCTTTCTCGCGGTCACACAATTTACGATTCCTCCGGCCGCGAATTTTCAATGAATCCTTGCGAGTTTGTGGTAAATTATAACTAAAGCTTCGATCGGCTGGGATTAGAGCACTGGCTGAATGATGATGTTAAGCGCGCCATAATATTTGTGTAACTGTACCGAGTAGTAGAAGTCGTTCGTTACGTGCTCTCGCAGATAAAGTTGGCAATCTTCTTCTTCGTACAGTTTCAATATTTTCCTGCTTTGCTAAGGGGATTACCAGCATCGCACGGAGTTTTCATTACAGTACGAACTCAACTGCATATTCATTCGCGGGAACTTATCACTGGTTTTCGTGTAAATTTCGACTATTATCACAGAGGTATGAAAACATTAAAACCCTTTCCTCTATCGATATGCATAGACATGCAGTCATCGGGGAAATTTCGTCACGACTTTCCTCCAATCTTTAGCCAAAAATATAAAGCTGCTTGAAAAAATTATCATCGACAATTATTTATGCCTAGATTGTGGTTAATCAATCTTGAAATATTTTCATCAGTGGTCTCTTTGTATAGAAAATAAAAAATCAATCACGTTCCTCAATTTAGTTTGGTTATGAGGTGCAACAACATTTTGTTTTTTCATCGTTAATGTAAACATAAACATACACATATTCAGCTGGGAATTACAATCGGCTTGTTAATTTTTTTATGAAAAAAACACTGCTTAAAACATTCCAAAATTGATTAACCGTAATCTAGACATTGATTATTTGTCGGAGATAATTTTTTTTGAGCATCTTCGATGGATATTGTAGACAAACGACTGGAGGGAGATGGCGACAAAATTTCTGCATTGACAAGAAAATAAAAATAGATATCGAGCAATAAAATTAATACGCTGCAAAATTGCGCATTGATAAACATAAGTGTTGGTTCGATTTTCCATAGCATGGTCATTTATAGCTGATCGATGCATAAATTAGAATCGGTATTTAATGATCATTTACAATAAAGATTGAAATAAGGCAAGCAAGTGAATATCCAAGTTGAACTGATGATTTATTTTTCCTGGACATAACGCTCGAATAGTTTGACGGACGAACATATAAAGTCATACGCGAGAAGAGTTGTGTTTGGCGGAGAAAGAGAATAAAAATTGCTTAAACTGCGATTATCTAAAGTAAGGTATGGTGACAATATATTACAGATGAGTGGACAGAGGTTAGTCGTTGTATGAGGTTCACGAGCCGCCCAAATAACACAGCTTCATAAGTGCGCACTGTCCGGGATCGCAAATTGGGAACAACTTGGTCATGCACTCTGGATAACCCATGCAGTCCGACATCAAGCATCTGTCCTGAAGCCCGTTCCTCTGTATGCACTGGCATTTGTGCATGAGACTGGACCGAAGTTCAAAGCTTTTGCACGGCTTCAGTGGCGCCTACGCGAGCAATTTCAACAGCATATTACTTTGTTTTATCGAATTCCTCCGAAAACTGGCTTTCGGTCTATGATATTCGATACTCACGCAGCAGACCATTTTGGGCTCAGGGCAGGCAGTCAAGCACGGCCTGGGCTGACACTTGGGCTTCTTTGGCCTGGGACAAGCAGGCTTGCAAGCTGGCTGGCAAACCACTTGGCAATAAGGCGGCGGCGGGCACTGTGGCTCGCAAGGTACCGGGCACACTAACTGATAGGCCGGTGGACAGGGGTTGCAGGGATCGGGGCAGACGATCTTGCAAGAGGGCGGGCAAGCTGGTGGACAAGGTGACTTCAAGACGACTTTACAGGGAGGTCCGCACGGATTGCACGGATCTGGACAGACAATTGTGCAAGACGGTGGACAAGGTGGTGGACAACGTGGTGGACAACGTGGTGGACAACGTGGTGGACAACGTGGTGGACAACGTGGTGGACAACGTGGTATGCAACGTGGTGGACAAGGTGGTGGACAAGGTGGTGGACAAGGTGGTGGACAAGGTGGTGGACAAGGTGATGAGCAGAGCTTGCAAGGCACTGGACAAACTATTTTGCATGGCGGAGCACACGGATTACACGGATCTGTGCAGATGAGAGTACAGGGCTTGCAGGGTGGCGGGCAAGATGGCGGACAAGGCGCTGGGCAAGAAGGTTTGCACGATAATTGACAGATTATTTTAGCCGGTGGAGGGCACGGTATTGGACATGACGGAGGTGGGCACGAAGTCGGGCACAGGATTCTGTAAGGAGGTGGACAGGGCGGCGGACAGGGTGACTGGAACATCGGCTTGCAAGGTGGCGTACAGATCAATTGTGTACAAGGTGGCGGACAAGGTGGCGGACAAGGTGGTGGACAAGGTGGTGGACAAGGTGGTGGACAAGGTGGTGGACAAGGTGGTGGACAAGGTGGTGGACAAAGTGGTGGACAAAGTGGTGGACAAAGTGGTGGACAAAGTGGTGGACAAAGTGGTGGACAAAGTGATGGACAAAGTGATGGACACGGTGGAGGACACGGTGGAGGACACGGTGGAGGACACGGTGGCAGACAAGCTGGAGGGCAAGGAATCTTGCAAATCAGCGGCGAGCAGGTCACCACAGATTTACAGCTACTGCTGTTACCACCACCACATGGTTCCTCGTCCCATTCGCACGGCTTTCTTAGCGAACAAAATTCATTTTTTGTCAGCAATTTCGTTATTTTGCTTTTTCTGGTTTCGAATACGACTGCTTACTTTCGTTCCATCGTCGTGATGAGACATTTCAGTTGATGAAGCAGTTCTCGCCTCTGCTGGCAAGATTTATTTTTCCCGTCACAAGGCATGATTTCTTCCAACTTTTTTTTCTGTTCAATAGCAACGTTTCTTTTTATTACGAAGGGATTTAAAATTTTTACTCATTAATTTTACTAGAAAGGGCACTTGAAAATTTTAAAAACCGCGAATTCGACAAATTTTAGCTTATGACATCTGTGTGTGTACACGGATAATTTTTCTTCGAGACTGCGAATTTGTTGGTGTTACGGTTCCATGGTAACTGCAAAAAAAGAGCGTCTAATAAAAAGAACAGCGCGTGTTCTTTCCATGAGAAGTAATACGAATGTTTGAAAGACATAGATTTTAAGAAGCATATACACAATATTCTATAGAGACGCTTTCGATTGAATTACGAGAACAGTTATTTTTATTTCATCGCTACAGTATGACTCAGACGCGTGAGGTGTGAATATTAGAGTCTCAATCGAGAGTCATTAATAACGATTAAATTAAAAGTAGGGAAAAAAGTTTGAAGGTTGAATCGATGACGTTTTGTGGGTCAAAGTCCTCTCGATCGAGCAGGCTAGGAGGTCACAAGCCACGAGGATTACGGTTCCTTTTATTCTCTAAAGAAGTCTCTTTCTCTCTTCGAGCCGAAGCAGAGCACTGCACGTTTGTCCGCGCTCAGCGCGCGAAGTGTGCGCTGTGCGTAGTTTTGTTGTCTTCTTGTCGAGTCCCGCATCACTCTATTTATCCTGCCGAGAGAAAAATGAAAGGTCAACGGGAGCGGCGTCTCCTTTAAATTTCTCACGCGAGCTTTTCAAAAGAACGTTTCAAACGACGAAATCGCTTGGTCACTTCTAGGCGCATATCGTCGAGAGCGGCACTCGTGACCAACGCGATTGGGGGATTTTTACTTTCTGAAAAATGACACACTGAGCGTGACGAAAGAGAAACGTGGCTTGGTAATGTGCCATCGCTCAACACCTCACGAAAAAAAAGTGAAGAGGCCCGCGGGCATTGGAAAATACGCAATTGACGAGGATTGAGAGCGCGCGCGTCGAGTATTGACTTAATTTGGCGGGATTGACGCGTTTTACGGATGTAGAAATATGATGGGGTTCTGGGCGTCGCGATCAGTCTGCCGTGGTTAGAGCTGGCTCTGCGCCCATACATATCTGGAGTATCTATCGCTGTAACGTTTTTTTAATTACAAAGTGCCTCCGTGTAAGGCTTGTATTTGTCGACTGGTCAGCGGGGCCGGGCTGTGATGTGGCCTACTGAGCGTATAAGGCGAGAGAGAGAGAGAGAGAGAGAGGAGAGGAGGTGGCGACTTTTATCACACGCTGTTATTTGCAATTTGGTCTGTAATCGGCGGGCCCGATCTCGCTGTCCAGACGGGCCTTTTCCCTCTTTTAATTTCGGTAGGCCCCATCAACGCTTCCTCCTCGTTCGACGCGTCTTATCTTTTTCTTGCGCTCGAATGCTTTATGATTGGATCGAGCGCGCGCGCGCGCGCTTATATATACGTTTGCATTATGCTCCGTAATAATGCTGCAGCCGCCGACTCCGCCACCACTACCACTATACCGAGATATGTTTATGCGATTTTTTAAAATTTATTAGCGCGCGATGAGTTTGCATCCGTGAGCCACCTCTGCTTCGAGCGAGCGCGAGACTTAATAAATATTTATAAATGCTGCATTTCTTATGTAGCATTCGAATAATGCGCACTCTGTTATTATTAAATTTAGCTGAAATAAAGTAGTGCCTACGCAGATTGAGAATTAAGATCCAAGCCATGAATTATTTGAACGCGCTGATGTGTTTCTGCGAGTGCATGAGATAATTCTCCGGTGTTAAAAATTAACACTCTCGTCGTACTTTAAGCTGTCTATCGCTGCTCCAACCGAAGATCGCTATGGGATCTATTGTTGTGAGAGGAGCATAATTGAACTTGGTTTACGCGTGACGGCGGCACTCGCAATATTTTTATTTCAGCCCGTATAAATCAGTCGGCTAACGAGTATAACACGGGCGTGCATTGCCGCGCGTATATCGCACTCTTGGTCGCAATTAAAAAAGTATCGTGCGTTATTGAGTGTGGCTTGAAGCTTCAGCTTGAAGCCTTCTCGTCATTTAATTACTGTAATTACTGGCTTTTCAGTGAGCCGTCTTTTCAGCGTGAAAAATGAAATGGCCTTTACCCCTTTACCGAGTCACTTTCCCGGCCGCCGCACGGGATAAAGCCAACATTCCCGCGGTTATCAGCGTCGAATTTTCATCTATCGTGGCGCGCGCAAACAAACAAATTGTGCCACTTTTGACGTCAAATACACCGCAGTCTGACGTGCAACGATTAACGAGTCAGCAAAGTGTTTTACAGGTCGCTGAAGTTGGCAAAAATGATTTGCAGCTAGTGCGCGGCAAAAAGCCCCGTGGCCATCGTGAGACCTATCCGGGACGTGTGTGCAGGGCGTAGATCACGGCGCAATTGGGTCGAGCCTAGAACAAGTTCACCCTATAAATTTCACCGTGGCCCGGCACGACGCCGCGCTCTGGCCTGCTTGGCTCTCGTCGCGTGAGCGAGCGAGTGTCGCGAGCACGGATAATTAGCCGGCAATAATTAGAAGCACGCCGATAGAAAGTATCTTATGTGGTCCGTTACGTGGCGGCACGTGTCGATCGTTTTCCCACGAGAACGCGCTTCCAGGCGCACACCGAGACGCGCTACCGGCTTCCAGAGTCAACTGATTTACAAATTTTCACCTTTTTTACGCGCTTCACGCCGACGCCGACGTCTCTCGATTTTATCTCGCACTGTGAGTCTTACGATCGTTATCCGCAGCGACGCGTTTTTACGCGACCTAGCTGCTGTCCAAGATGGAAAGAGGGCTTCAAAAGGCTTATGCTTTTCTTGCCAAGCTTGAAAAAACCATCCAGCTCGACTGCAAAAAGATATTCTCTTTTCATTCTCCTAGTATAGAACAACAAGTGGACTCATGCTTCCCTCTCGACTAAGTTCATTATAACGAGAGACAATCTGGCAGTGCGCTAATTAAGGTCTTTCAAAAAAGAAAAAGGAAAAAAAAAAGAAAAAATCGGGCGGTAACTTTTGTTTATTGTGCTACCAATTATAATGCGATTATTATGTTTAGATTAGACCTGTTAACGACTTCACAAGTGAATTTCACTGCTCGTTAGTTGAAAATTCGTTTGGTTGTTTTGTAGTAGCGATTGTTCATTTGTTAATAACATTGAAGAGAAGCACAACAAGGAACATTGTCCATAATGAGGAAAATTTCAATACAAAACACGAGCGCAGTTAATGTTTCCTGGGCGGCGGCGCAACTTACGAATGCAGGATGCGAGCCGTGCACTTGTGCGCCGCGCTGCGCTGTGCTGCGCGCAAGATCCGAAAATCGCGATACACAAGTGTCGTCCCTTCATACTTACGCGCGCGCGCGCGCGATATCATTCACGATCGACTCGAGCTACTGTGGTACACGCGTTGCTGCATCGGCTAACGAGCAAGTGCCAAAAATAAAATGCAACAGGACGAGCAGCGGATCGAATGTCCTTGGGAGCTCTCCCCTCGACTCGCCGCTCGTCTCTGTTTTTTATTTTATTTTATTTTTTCGTTCGTTGCTGTCTCGTTGTGCTGCAAGCCTTCGCCTTGAATTTCGTTTCGCCGGCAAAATTATGACGCTGCTTGTGATGCATTAGGGGCTCGAGGCACGTATATCGATAGAGTTGATCGATTCTCTCCGTAACGGATGCCTTTCTGTCTTTGAATGTAAATCGTTTCCTTTATTACGCCGTGCAACGCTCAAGTTAATCAAGTAGATGCGTGCTTTTCACCTATACGCTGGGATGCGCGAAAAAAAATGGAAGCAGCCGGTGCGAGTCAATAGTGAGGTAGATTTTTTGTTTTCAGCGCAGAACCAACGAGGCAATTTTTATCGGCTTATTAATGAGCTACTCGTCGAAGGGTTATAATATGCCGTGGCTTATTTGCCGGGCGTAAATTAGCATAAATTTGAGTGGCGTCGGCGGGCGCATTGAAGCTGCGCGCTGCGGCCACGGGATCTGCACAATACGCCGAATTAAAGCGCAATATTTATCGCTGGCCGTGGCAAACAATTACCGCTCTCGCACATGTACGTATACGGTTAGCGGCCGTTCAACCCGCTCTCTCTCTCTCTCTCTATCTCTCTCATACGTATGGATGCGCGAGCAGCAGCGAGTGCGCGAGCGCAGGTGGGAGGATTAGCGCGCGCGATAAAAGACCGTTTCCGTATTCCAGGGGCCACAATGCGTGAGCTGATATTCAGTGCTGATTTGCATTGAGCTTCGCGGTATACGCTTATAGCCTCAGCTAGCGTTTTCCAAAGACAACCACAAACAGCCAGAGCAGCCGGCACCGAGCGATTGTTCTGCGTGGAAAGCGGTGCCTCGATAACGAAAAATCGAGACGCCGAACACGAGGCCAAGATTAATCTCGACGGACGCGCTCGCGCCACTACTTTGCCAGGCAATCCTCATTCTCATTTATCACCTCTCGCTCGCAGCCAAGCTCTCGCCGCCTTTTGCTTCTTCTCTTCTCTTCTCTCTCTCTCTCTCTCTCTCTCTCTCTCTCTCTCTCTCTCTCTCTCCTTTGGCGAACCTTCAACGAGTCCAATTGGTTTCTTCTTCGAGAGGCTATCTTCGCTGATACTTTCCTCTTCTCTCTCTCTCTCTCTCTCTCTTCCTTCGCCATTTCTCAATCTTGCGCACGTCCTATCTTTCTTTATCGCTGCTTTGAGATTCGTGTGTTTCTCGCTGCTCACCGTACCATCGTATCTTCGCCACGCGCGCAACCATCATTTCGCAGACGGACAATTTGCTGCGAACCCGTGCTTATTTTCGTAATGATTACACCCCTTTTTATTGCCGAACATCCAGAGGCCAAAACATCGTGGCACTTGACGCTCTCTACAGATTACAAAAATACATACATGTATTTTTATTTGTTCGATACAATTGCACTGACAACAGACCCATTTACAGTCGACAATGAAGCGTCGCT